GCCCTGCGGGTAAGCAGCCGAGTACCTTAGCCACTAGACCACCGCGGCAGGGCACCAGCACTAAAGTAATAAAATGTTTGAAAAACTGAATGTCATCGTACGAAAAAAAGATTCAGAAGTATATATAAATGTACTTAAAAGGACTAACTGCTCTAAAAGAACAAACAACAAGGCTGGACATTTTTTCGTCCACACAGTGGTCAAGTGGCAGAGCTATACAGTGAGCCAGGAAAATTGCGCTGCGCACATGTAGTACACCTGAGGCAGTCATGCATGGTTGCTCAAACATGAAGTTTTAATTTTGTCGGTTTTCTTAGTCCCTTTCATTGATTTTCCTAGCCCGTTTGATACGAAACCTACTTGCAAGAATACTTGGCCTTGAAACACTATTTATGTGATGCCTCAATACTTCTGATAATTTGATATACTAGGCTTCAAAGAAGCCCTCTCAGATTATTTTATCCAAATCGTCTTCGTTGTCACCACCGCCATCACTCACCACCATCATCACCGTCCCCATTTATAGACAAAGAAAGTAGAAGAAGAAGGAAAAGCCCGTCTTGAGGTGTTCGTATCCAAAGTCTGCAAGCGTACGTGAAAAAGAAGGATCCTTCGCGCAGCAACGGCGGACATGCGACTGAGTCGGCGTCCCGTCGTGGCTTTTCTGGCCTCCGCGGCGGCAGCGGTGGGCGCCCTGGCCCTGGTCGTGCTGCTCGTGCGCAAGATACGCGTCGTGCTCGCGGGCGAGGTCCTGTTGACCGAAGAGCGTGCCTTGTACACGGTTCGACTCGAGAAGCGCGTCTCCGTCACCCACGACGTGCGCCTGCTCCGGTTTGCCCTGAAGAGCCCCCACCAGGTGGGTGTATCGCTTTTCGCGTCGCACCCTAGCCTCCTGAAATAAGCACACGTGTACGCAGTACTCGCTACTGTGGCACTTTAAAAAGAAAAAAAAATTGGCAGATCCTACGTGCAGTGGGAATCGAAGATATGCGAAGCACGATTGAGAGAGGTTGATATGTCACTTTCGAATCACCACAACGTCATGAGGTGGAGGTAAATTATGCCGTACACGACTTCCGTGTCATGGTTATCATGATTCGATGTGTCGTTAACCTTCGTCATCTATTCACATCACGTGATGCCAGATTTAGTGTATGTGGAGCTAGCGAAACGGCCACGAGCACGCTATAAGCGTTGTATGTTGCCATGTTCTTACAGGACACGCGTCTCATAACCATGTTTGAACCAGTCATATACATTCTCGTTCATTGACGTCGCGTGACACCAAATTTAGTATATGTGGAGCTGGCGAAACGGCCTCGAGTGCATCATGAAGGGCCCAATATGCTCCAACGTAACGTTGACGCGCGCGCACGCCGGGCACAGCGACGCTACTTTAGCGAAACGCGAGCACTCTATAGTCTGACGCCAAACGTGACTGGCACTACCAGCGTTCATCGGCGCGGCCCGGCGACAACTGGCGCGAAATGCCTTATGCTGCATTTGGCGCCTATGTGTTGCCCAGACAACACTGCGCCTCCCTCGTTTCGAGACGGAGGGATGCCGGACGCGTTAAAACGCGCATGCATGCGTAAAAGCAACGCCACGCGGCGCGTGCCAGAGAGTATATCGCACGACCGGCGCGTGGCGTGGCAACGATGGCGTGCCGCGACGAAACGAACGCTGACGTGAACCACGCGGGGTCACGTCGGAGTGTATTGGCGACTTAACTGTGGCAGATAGTCATGTTCTCACTTGACACGCATCTCAAGATTATCATGTTCCCACTAGTCACATAACTTCGTCATCCATTGACGTCACGTAATACCAAATTTGGTGTATGTGAAGCTAGCGAAACGGCCGCGAGCGCACCATGAGCGTGGCATGTAGTCATGTTGCTACATGACACGCATCTCTATATTATCATGTTTGCACCAGTCAGATACCTTTTCATCCATTCAAGTACCTTAACGCCAAATTTGGTTTATGTGACGCAATCAAAAGACTGAGAGCGCGTCATAAGCGTGGCATGTTGTCATGTTGTTACATGACACGCATGTCATGATTTTCATGTCAGGGTCTGTCGCCTGTGTTCGCCATGAAATTATATCATAACATACCAGTTTCGCAACATGTCATGTGGACGAAACCACCGCAAGAGCAACAAGACCATTAAATATAAATCTTGACATTCATGACATACATGTTAAATTTTCATGTTACGACTAGTCAATTACGTTTGCATACAGTCATGTTATAGCATACCGAGTTTGGTATTGATACCATTATCCGAACGGACAGGAGAGCTAAAAGTCGTAGGCGGATAGACAGATAGATAGATAGATAGATAGATAGATAGACAGACAGATAGATAGATAGATAGTTAGATAGATAGATAGATAGATAGATAGATAGATAGATAGATAGATAGATAGATAGATAGATAGATAGAGAGACAGACAGACAGACAGACAGACAGACGGATAGATAGATAAATAGATAGATAGATATTCTCAAAGTCGCCGAAGTTCACTAAGAAATGCTTCGCATTAAAAAAATTCGAGCAGACACATATTATGGACCTAGGCGTTTGCTAGTGGCACTGTCGCGTCGTCATTCTTGCGCCTTGGTGGATTTCATGTTAACATTACGTTTGGCTGGGCTGATGAAGTGAATTTCGAAGGCAACATAAAAGCGCATGGTTCCGATCTGTTCCATCAGGTGCTATAAAAATCCCAGCTACTCAATAAAACCGTCTGTTCGTTCAATTAATCTTCGTGGCAGCTAGTTGGCGCTTGTTTTTGTAAACGTATGATCCCATATTGTATGCATACCGTATAACTCTTAACGTTAAATAGAATCGTTGATTTCGCACGTGTTATCTTTAGAACGCAGCTCTGTGGCACCCGTTTCTGCGAAGAGGTTTGCCGGCGATGTCGGCCTAACCAATAGTGCCAACGAGAACAAAACAGAGATCACCCCAAGGAGCTTCCCACCAACGGAGCGAACGAGCTGTTGTGTTAGCGTCTGCAGTGTCTCGTGCCTGCTCGCGCTTGTCACAGTGCAGCGCCTGTCTCTAGCGCACCGACATGAGATAGTCGGTTGACCTACGAGTCTCTGGAAAAAAATTGGCAGCATAACCACGGGGTGAATGATGAAGAATGGGGCGAAGCATCCGTCCGTCCATTCGTTGTTACTTCCGTCCGACCATGCGTCCGTCTGTGTGACCTTCCGCGCGTCCATCCACCCGTCCGCACGTGCGCCTGTTCGTGCGTCCACACGTCAATCCGCGCGTCCATCCCTGCGTTCGTCCATGCATCGGCCCCTGCGTCCGTTCATGCGTCTATCCGTCAATGCAGCCAACTATGCGTCCGTCCATGCATCTGTCTGTGTGTCCATTCGTCTATGTAGTCAAACCTCCAAGTACCACCATGTCGCGTCTTTTCATCATACATTCCGCTTATAGAAGCACCGCCATCCAGCGGACATTCCAAGGACTAAATGAGAGGTGGCACACGCACACTTTCCTACGGCTTGCACTTCGTCTCTGCTTCCCACCTTTAACCACCTCGAGTTCTAGGTATTAAAATGAGGCGTTTTAGAGTGGCACTCTTTTATAAAATAGGAGAGCGGTCACGACACGTCAAGTGGTACTGGCGGAACCAGTCTGAGTCCCCAGCCAACCAAACGTCTTCTTCACCGACTGAGTCATACCCCCTGCCTTTCTGAGTAGCACTCATCTTCACTACATTTTCCTGCCCTCCGGAAAAGAGCCATCCTGGCGACTCATGGGCAGGAGACAATAGAGGGATCGTAACACGGTTTTAGGCGGTCTATGTGGACGGTCTCACGTCCACGGCGTCGTTGATCATGGGGCTGCTCTAGCGGCTCGACGATGTAATTGACGGGTGAAGTTTGCTTAACCACACGGTAAGGGCCGGCATACTTGTACGTCAGTTTAGTTGAGAGACCAGGGCTGGTTGAAGGGATGCGAAGCCAGGCAAGGTCATCTGACTCTCCGCACAGTAACTTGGAAGGCGAGGGAAACGGATTTGAAACATAAATTGCACTTGATGCATCGTGAACATTCAGAACGGTGAACAGAATCAGGAAACACTTGCGGTGAACAGCGGTTTCAGAATGCGTAAAAAGAATAGTTGAGCCACAGGTAAGCGGAACTAGGGCGAATGAGAACGGGGGTATCGAAGTGTCGGCGGCAACGAAAACTTTTGCAGGTGAAAGGGACGAGTCGAGTGAAGCAGCGTCGCATAACGGCGCGAACTCCACTTCGGCGCGAGCACAGTCGATGACGGCATGATGACTGCAGAGAAAGTCCCAGCCTAATATGACGTCATGGGAAAACTGCGGGAGCACTACAAACTCGACGACATTAATATGGTCAGCAATAGCGACACGTGCTGTGCATGCAGCAAAAGGGCGAATTCGTTGCTCGCTCGCAGTGCTTAAAACGACGTCGTGAAGAGGCATTGTGACTTTTTCTAGTCGACGGCAAAGTTTTTCAGTCATTACAGGCACTGCGGCGCCAGTATCGACCAATGCAAAAGCAGGTATACCTTCAAAGGAGACAGCAACGACGTTGGACGGCGAAAAACAAGATCTTGTGGAGTTCGAAACATCCGCAGTTCTTGCCCCCGGAACTGCGGCTCCTAGTTTTCCTCAGGGACCGGGCGAGGTTGACGTAGCATAGGGGAAAGGGAACGGCGTTGAGGTGAAGGTGACCGGTTTCTGTTGAAGTTCCAGTGAGGTGAAAGTGTGTCCATGGTCGCAGTCTCGCCAGATATAGCAGGCTCTGGTCGTTGTGCGAAGTCATAATTGTTGGGCCTGACGTCGTCACGCAAGGAAAACTCACGCCGTCGGCAAAATTGTGCCACGTGGCCCGCAATTCCACAGGCGAAGCATATGGGCGGTTGTCTTGAGTGCACCAAGGGTTCTGAAAGTGCGGAGGTGGTGGTCGGGAGAAAGGACGGGCAGCCTGGTACATAGGCTCAGTCGGTACGACAAAGGGGCGCGTGGACGTAGGCGTTTGCGACAAAGAAACGTGGCCGTTCGCGACAGGCGGACGTCGGGTTCAGTTCAGTGCTTCGGCATAGGTCAATGGAGCAGCCACAGGTGGTGCGTGAGCAGTTGGAAGCGCATCAGACACTTGCTCCTGCACTACTCGCTGTATTGATGGCGCTAGAGTAGATAGGGCACCTTCGGAGGTATAAGGCACGAGGGACAACTGGCGTGCGACCTTCTCTCGTACAAATTGCTTGATCTCGAGAAGCAAAGTGGTGTGGTCTATAGCAGTGCCAGCCGACGTTAAAGCGGAGATTGTTGTTCATGGCGCGCTGGCACGACGAGTGGTGTCACGCTGTTTCCAAAGCTCATTAGAGCTCTTACAAAGCTGGATCACTTCCGCTACCGTTTGCGGGCTTTTGGCGACAAGCACCTGAAATGCATCATCAGTCACGCCTTTCAAGATGTGTTTGAGCTTCTCGGCTTTTGTCATGGCCGAGTTGACACGCCGGCAATGGTCGACCACATCTTCGATATAACTGGTGTAATTCTCACCATTCTGCTGAGCCCTAGTACGCAAGCGCTGTTCGGCCCGTAGTTTACGAAGCGCTGGACGGCCAAACAAGTCCGCGAACGCCGTTCGGAAGGCCGACCAGGTGGGGAGGTCTCTCTCGTGATTACGGTACCACAGAATGGCGACGTCGGTCAAATAAAATTGGACGACAGTAAGCTTGTGCGCATCGTCCCACTTGTTGTGCTTGCTCACCCGGTCGCATTCGTCGAGACAGTCTTCCACGTCTTTGTCATTGGTTCCACTGAAGGTAGGCGGATCGCGTTGCCAAAAGGAGCCGAGACAGACAGGAGCTGCAGTAGTTGGAGCCGAGGCGGCCGCCTGCTGATCGTCGTGCGTGGACATTGTAGCAACTGGAGGCAATGTACGGTTTCGCAATTCCAGGATTAGGCGTTACCCAGCACTCTCCGCCAATTAAGATGAGGCGTTTTAGAGTGGCACTCTTTTATAAAACAGGAGAGCGGTCACGACACGTCAAGGGGTAATGGCGGAACAAGTCTGAGTCCCTAGCCAACCAAACGTCGTCTTCTTCACCGACTGAGTCATACCCCCTGCCTTTCTGAGTAGCACTCATCTTCTTCATTACATTTGATACTAGTTCACTGCATTCATGGCACTGCGGCTTAACGCTCGCTAAACCTTTCTCCGTCCATTCGTTCTTGCTTCCGTCCGTCCATGCGTCCGTCTGTGTGACCATTCATGCGTCTATCTGCCCATCTATGCGTGCGTGTGTTCGTTTCTCAGCACGTCCATCAGTGCGTCCATCCCTGCGTTCGATCATGCATGCACCCCTGCGTCCATCCATGCGTCCATCCGTCCGTGCAGCCATCCACGCATCAGTCCATGCATCTGCCTGTGTGTCCGTTCGTCCATCTAGTCAACACTCCATGTACCACCATCTCACATCTTTTCATCATATATTCCGCATATAAAAGCACTGCCATCCAGCGGACATTCCAAGGACTAAACGAGAGGTGGCACATGTACACTTTCTTACGGCTTGCGCTTCGTGTCTACTTCCCACCTTTAACCACCTCGAGTTCATGGTATATACTAGTACACTGAATTCATGGCACTGGGGCCGAAAGCTCGCTGAACCTTTATAAAACCAAGGAGGTTACGCCCAGCGAGTATAATGCAGCAACCTTTTCTTGTCAGATAGTGCTCAATGTACATGCCAATGGCTGCTCATGGGGAATGAGAGACAGGAGAATTAGGCTTTTAGTAAACGCGCACGCTGAGAATTTTGTTATTGTTCAACAACGCACAGGAGAAATCTCCTACAGGCACCACCTTGCAGTTCAAAGCGTGAGACATGTTACGCACTACTGTGAGGGACGAACAGGTGCCACTTAAAGAAGCTTCGCCCCTAACACTCATGCGTTGGTCGAAAGGGCACTTTGAGTGTGGAACGCTCTAGCGGACTGTTTCTGGCCTTTGCGAGTCCAGCGCAGCGCCCACTTCAGATAACTACAACGAAGCCAATGACGGTTGAAGCCGGATTGGCGTCAGCCAGTTGTGGGTGTGTCCACTCCGAGACTACGAGGGTGGCTGACTGCGAGCAATGTTTGAAGAGTGGCCACACGAGAAATTTTCGGCATTCGCTGTGAAGCCATGGACTCCGAAGACGTCTGTCTGAGCACACGCAAGAGAAGTCATCACGTTGCGTTATATAGGTCGTTATGAGCCGGAGCAAAGTGTAGAAGGCGTTGCGTACTGTGCTGTAGAATTCTCGCAAAAAATAAATAAGGGTGTTTGGACAAGACTCGTGGCAAAGGTAATTGCTTCTACCTTCCAGAAGCTTGGCTTCCGTGTGGGTGAGCACGTGCTGCTGTACGCGCGCATCGGTGATCGCACGGTGATGAGGCCGTACACACCCGTCAGCCGCGTTGACCGCCGCGGCCGCTTCGACATCATGGTCAAGATCTACCCGGCGGGCGTGTCCAGGAAGTATCCCAACGGTGGCCTCATGAGCCAGTACCTGGACAGCCTCAAGCCGGGAGATAAGATAAAGGTACGTACGTGTACCCACTCAAGCCTCGTGGCAACATTCGAGCAGAACGTAGGCAGGAAGCGGACATTTAAAATATAGCCACTTTTATATAATTCTGATCCCAAGACAGCTTCGCGCTTCAGGAGTTGAGGCGAAATATGCTGAGAAAATGAACAGCATGTCGAAGTGCATGAGTGTTGGCGTTGGCGTGAAAAAGAAGGAAAGCGTTCATATTTATGTACGCGTCACCTCTCAAGCACCGTGTTTATTCCTTATGAACGCTGCCATTCAAAATTCTTGCTCTCTCTTGATAGCATCTTCTGCTTGCATCGTGGAAATTTCGGTTCATGTCTGACTCCCTTAACACTTTTGGTCCACCATGCATGGAACGTTCAAATACACGATACCACTCCGAATTTTAGTGCTCAATCGCCTTTATATCCCACTTTTATTTGCAGTCAAAATTGTTTTGAGGATCCTTACCATTATCCACTTTCAATTATAATTATTTCAGAGAGACCAACTTACTTAAGTTTTGACTAACTTTCGGCGATACCTCAGCTCTTTCTACCTCTTCCATGGACTGGCACATCAATGCATGTAGCATCTTGACATAAGAAATAAACGTCTAAAGCCCTTCTTGAAATGCGACAAGCCAATGCGCACACTATGATGTGACCACTCCACACCACCACAAAAACAAAAATGAATCGCGCGCACCTTCCTGAGCAACTCTAAACTTAATTGACGCCACCTCTACGAAAACTGACAATTGTACCGGGGACGTTAATTGTGATGTTTAGTTGTATACTTCAAGTGTGACACATGTGAAAAAATTAAAGAGACAGAAACCAAATTCGCGACCTTCGGATTGCGGGCCCAATGCTCTTATTGATGGAGCTACAGCGGTGGCTGTCCTCTCACCGACTATGTCGAGTACTTACGTGCATGCAAACATGGGAGTGTCAGTCTGCCTCTGGCGGCAATCACGGTAAGTATGGGACACTTTTTCTCTTGCAGTCTGCGTCACTCAGTGCACGTTCCTTGAAAGAGTAGTACTTAAAACAAAGTGCAACTAACGTCCGCTATGCCATCCTCGGCTCAATTATCTGCTGGTTTTCACCAAGGTTGTGACAAACAAGTGAGATGAGCTCCCAAACTTCCCTTCATTCATTCAGAGGGGGTCTTGCTCCGGCAGACTTGCTGCCTTGAGATGGTATACGAAGGATTATTAATCATCTGCCAGCTCGTAATATGATCACGTGACACAAGACGACAAAGGGCAGAAAAACGTGTTCCATACTCGCCGTAATGGCTGTTATCGGCGTTGACTGCCACTCCCACGTTTAAATGCACATATATATATACCCTATATATTGGGCAGTGGAAGGACGGACGGCCGCTGTAGTTCGGCTGGTGGGGCATCGGGTGCATCATTCGGTGGTCGCAGGTTTGGTCTTCATCAGCGGCAAATTGTCGTTTCGCCGGTTTTTTTCCTTCACTAGCAAAATAAATATCACAGATAAAGAGGGCACTTGACGTCTTCTAAACCTGCCTGGGCTCAAGTTATCTGCTATTTTTCAATATGGCTGTGTCAAACAAACGGAACAAGCTCATGCAAATTTTATTTCTCTATTCAAAAGAGTATTCGTGAATTTGTTAGCAAATTGAAGTCTTCGCCAATATCTGATTTAAACAAAAGGTGGCTCACAAAAACAAATCGGACATGATGAAGCATTGCCACAAGAAATATCGAGTTGGGTGAATTGTGACGTGTGAACATCGGCATCATTTCTTCTACATGGATTTAAACATAGCACGAGACATCTGCTACTTTAATTAAATTTGATATTCTTAATGCAGAGGCATTAAAATTATGTTTGCTCTGGTCTAACGCGGTGCTTTGCTGTCGCAGATCCAGGGACCTAAGGGTCGCTTCGTGTACAAAGGACGCGGCAAGTTCTCCACTGCCGACGGACATCAGCTGCCGCTCGTCGCTCGACTGGGACTTGTGGCGGCAGGGAGCGGCGTCACCCCGATGCTGCAACTGCTGAGGCACCTGCTCGCCGACAACGAGGACAAAACGACGGTCATGATGATCGACGTCAACTCCAGCGAGCAGGACATCATCGCGCGCCAAGAACTGGACGATTACGCGAAGAACCACGCTGCCTTCAGGTTGGTATACACTGAAATGTCTCACGACCTTGGCAGCCATTTCGGTACACACTCTTAAAAAAAGGGCATTGCTACTTACTAACTTTGAGGTAGTAAATTGTTGTCATAACATTCACTACCTAAGTAGTAACTGTAGGTAGTAGACCACGGACGTTTATTACCTCTGGTTGCTTTCGAGGTAGTAAACGTATGTGATCTCCTACCTGCAGTTACTACTTAGGTAGTGAATGTTGTGGCAACAATTTACTACCTCAAAGTTAGTAAGTAGCACTGCCTTTTTTTAAGAGTGCACAGCTCTAGAGGACATCAACCAAAATTTCCGCCGAGAGCATGTTGTGGGGACAGGCTAATACATCGTGAAACAGGGCAGGCGCGGGTGTCCTAGGGACCTTGATCCCTACATATGATGCAGGTGGAATGGGGTGTTTTACCGAAGACAAATAATGAAATTAAGCCTTTTTCATGACCTTACAAAAACGCCCCCCCCAAAAAAAAAATCATGGCTACGACCATGAAGGGACACTAAAATCAAATAACATATTACGTCAGCGTAAAAGCTCAATGTATGACATGTAAGCAACAATAGTATCAGCGAAATTCCACACTTACCGAGAAATTATGTTAAATGCACAAAAACACAAGTGCCTCAGTATGACATTCTCAAAATGATCCCGATAACACCAGATGGATCACCTACAAATAATTACAAGTGATTGATCTAGCTGCGCTAAATAAAAAACCTTCCGTGCATCAAGCGATGCAATAAAATGTTATTTGTTTTTTTCTCTTTGATTTATGGAAAAAAGATCCACCGGACATTACTCTGGGGAATGGCACGAATAGTTCAAAAAATTCAATTTTGGCGTAGCTACACGGGACAGGTGGTGCCATCTAGCGGGCCGCAATTGAACAACAACAACAACAACAACAACAACAACAAAAACTTCTAGAAGTTCGAAGCCAATAGTGGGAAATTATTCAATGGCTGTTGTTGCTGCTGCAGCTCCCGCTGCTTTCGGTGTGCTGCTACTAGCGCAGTAAAGCCGGGCAACGTTATGTACGACGTGAGTCAGTCTTGTTGGTCCACTTCTTGGGGAGGATAATTTGAAGTGCGCTAATCCATTGCGGGCCACCAAAATGTGTTGTTATTTATAAATAGGCTCTTCCTTGGCACAAACGTAACACTACGAGGTTGCTAGACCGCTATTTCAACAATCAACGCCGACTTATTAGTTGCCTTTAGTGTCCCTTTAAGCAGGCCGACGCAATTCCTCAAATGTGTTGGGAATATGTAACGCCATAGTATTTAGGAAACCTTTTGTGGACAGCTGAGCTTCACGATCAAGAGCAGGACACGATAACGTCCCCATGCGCAACGCCTTTTCAAATGCTAGCCTCGCTTTGGTACTCGATGCATGCTTTAACCCTGCCGTCTGAAAACTGTGCGTGCAACACTGGCTATTTCAAACTGTCCTTGATCGCCTATTGCAAGTAGAGTGCGAAGTGCCCGCTACGACGTAACATCATTTTAGGATTCAGTGAAGGGTCCATTGTACGTCGGTAAACACGTACGCGAACTGATGCAGCTGCTCACTTTGTTTACGGGCTTGCAGTTGATGATGATAAAATACCTCGGAGCACTTAGTGAATGACGGGCTCTTAAAACACTCGCTCAACGCACCAACTGCTTAGACACTCAATTAAAACACGCCCTTAAAACACTTACTGCCACGCAGTATTACGCGGAACGAGAAGATTTCTTCCATCATATGACGCTCATATACTGTTTTATATTTTTTGAAGCAGTTCAAGCAGTGGTGTTTGTCTGTGGTAAAACACCTGCCTGCCACACCAACAGCCTGGATTTGAATCACAATCGAACTGAAGATATTTTAGTTTATTTCCTAATTTCATGGTTTTTCCCTCTCCGACGTCATGGTTTTTCGCTCAGAAACACCGACGGCGACAACTATATTTCTGCAAAACAAAGCTTTGAATGCCACTGCGTAATAAAGAAAAATTTATGTTGTAGCTTTGCAAACAGTATGATGTTTTGTGTTTGTTCTTAAATATGAAAAAAATCAAGGCCCGTTCATTACGATTCTGTCCTCCCGGACGACAAGATTAATCGTTTGTGGTGATTGTTCAGTTTGCCGGAGTAAAATTCTTACACGCCTCGTCTGAGTGAAAACTAGCCGTTGGTGTTGGCGTCAACACGAGTGTTCAAAAATATTCACACCCTCTTCCCAAAGGGAGCCCTGATGGGATGCGAAGCAGCACCGTTGCGCATGGGTGGCGTCACGGGTCGAACGGCGCTAAGATGGGTGCTGCGGTGGGCGCTGGAAGATTTGCGAGCGGCGGTCGCGGTAGCGGAGCGAGCGGCTGTATCGGGCAGGGGCTGTGGTCGAACAGATGAGGCGGCCTGTGTGCATGCTGCAGTGAGTGTGTGGCAGATTAGGGAGAGAGTGACGTCAGCTTACACTGTGAGTGTAGCATGACGTCAACGCGCAGCTGTGGCGTGACCTACTTGGCACTGCTCCAACAACTTCGACGAGGGGAACGCGTTGTGGCGCGTTCATATAGACGCACGGAGGGACAGCGTTACACAGGCTAGTCAAAGAGCTGTTTCGCATCAAACAATTATGTAATGACGAAATCCGGATGCCAGATATTGCCTAAGTTTGGGGTGTCACATGACAGTCTTGGCAGAACACCACCATGTGATCGTAGGCTGACTAATCTCAGAGTCATTGCAAAACACTGCGAGGTGCAGATAGCTTGCCATGCCTGCGATTTCGCAGGCAGCGTGAAACCACTGAAGGTGGCCGAGGGGTGAGGTGGTCAGTACAGAGTCCTCAAGTGGTACACTCGACTGAGACAACGACGACGATTGTTCTCGCCTTCGAGTCGCCTTTAGTGAATCTAACAAGGTCAAGTAAAATTATTAAAACCTGCTGACCTGCTTCTAAAATTGTCGTTTTTTTCTGGCATAAACTAAATAAAGCACCCTCAAAAATCTAACCATGGGGCTACGATGTTTTTATATGACCAAACTAGGATTTTTGTAGAGTTGTTTGGGACCCGCTTTTAAAGAAATATATTAGGAAGAATAAGATGATTCAGCAGGAGGTGGTTTACATTATCTTTCATGCTCAACAGAGGGACGGTTCACCAACAACAACCATGGGCACCAGTAATATTCCTACTTCTTAATACAAAAGAACAGTTAGCCGGGTGAAATTTGTACGCTCTTTATTTCGTAAATGTAACATTAGTCTAGAAACTTACGTAAGAATTCGAATTTTAAGGCTAACTAGACATACACACACTTGCACCCTTGAATGCTTCGCACATACTTGCTTTTCATTCACTCCTTTTCTCAGACCATCTCGGAACGTGTTACCTTTCGACGTGTTCCGTGAGAATGAAAATCCTGACTCTGATAACATGTATCATTGTTTTTAGCCATGCAACAGGAGCTCTCGAGATTTTCTCACGTTGCATTTTATTTGCATCCTCTAGTTGCGATTTGCATTACCGTGCTTTCATTTTACTCTATCTATTTGTTATGCTGTGTTTAATTGCCTTGTCAAGTTTTATTGTTCGACTTTGTTTCTTATTGAAGTTCCACAGTAAATTACTTTTTATTATGCCCCTATACTTGGTCTTTCGACCTCAGTAGGCTGTCAGAGAGTAAATAAATTTAAAAAAATTGTGAACGAACATGTTAATTTTGCCTCCCTATATGTTTCAGTTAAAAACAATCAATGATGTAACCATGCATTACTCGGCTGCTGGCAGGGTTCAATATATATATTACCTAGTGAACATTTTTAAAGGCAATTTGATTCTCTGCGTGCAGAATACGTCATGTGCTGAGCAGACCACCCCCGTACGAAGGCATGTTGGAGTACGTACCCGGTCCCCTGAACCAGGACATTCTCACTGAGCACCTTCCACCGCCAGACTCTGACACGATGGTGCTCTGCTGTGGACCACCCCGTCTCATCACCGAAATATGCAAGCCAGCACTTAGGGACATTGGACACAGGGCCAGTCAAGTGCTCTGCTTCTGAACGGCCGTCGTCTGTTCTGCAGTATGGACTGTGCCTTCAGGATTAACGACTGAAGAAATGTTTTATTTGAATGGTCGAGTTTGTTGACTTAGAATCACACACAATGGTATTAGAAAATAATCAGGTGAATTAACAAGTGGTATGAGTTAACTATGAACGACTAACACATTAAATTCTTTACAGAACTGCTCGGCCAATCTTCACAATCTTCAGTTTTGTTATAGTTGAAAATAATGACATCACAAAGTATAGAAATGCATTTATGACGTCACAATAAGTTGTAACGTGATGTAAGCATTGGATGATATTTTTTGCGTCATTTGTTCCTTACGCCATTGGATGGTCGCACTGACGTTCAAATTATGGGTGTGGTGAGGTACCTAAAATTTTCGCTTTATTCATCGAAGCTCTGCAATAAACGTTGAACTACCAGCTGGCAAGGAGCGAAAACGCGACCTTACTCGCGAGAGACACCGCCAACGCATGCGGCGTCTGCTAGCGATTTTAGTGAAAAATATGCAGCGGATCCACGAGGCGAATACTGATATCACAGTAAAGCTACTTGTACGAATATGAAATGGTCATTAAACGATTACGGCGATGCCAGGTTACCACCAGGGCGTGCCAACAGATCACACTTACGTCAGTTGTGCCTTCCGTCAGACGCACTTTGCCTGCGTAGCATCACTGTGCCTAGCGTGCTGTATCATGCAAGAGGGTAGACGCACGTATCGTTTTTACATTCTAACCGATACCGTCTCACTGCGCCGAGGCGTTCTCCAACACGCTTCGGAATTTTAAAGCTAGTGACGGGCCCACGGATAGACGAGCAGATACACGGATAGATGCACGAACAGACGGACACATGCACGGATGGACGAACGTGCGGACGGGAACGTCGTCGTTGGCGTAGGACCTTCCATTGCTTCGGAGTCTTCTCGCAGCCGCCGTTGCTATTTCCGTCCATAACACACCCTGATTGTACGTACTCGGAGGGGGGGGGATCTTCAACTTGCCGCCATTGCTGCACAGCCATTTGTTCCGCAGTGTCTTCTTCATCTTTAACCAGTGAATGGAAAGAACTGGTATTAACCGAACTTATGTGGCACATGCTCGTTAAAGATAATGAGAGAGAGAGAGGAAGACAACGTTTATTTCTCAAAAAAGTAATTCATCGCTAGTAGGACCCTTCTAAGGCTCCACTGGCTATAGCGGCTAGGAGGGCCTGACCCAGGGTCGCCAGTTGGCTTCCCAGGGTCCGTTCAGTGAGTCGCGCCTTCCACGACCACCTATGTATTGGGTGCTTATGCCCTATGTCGAATGCGGCGGGTCGCTCGGGACAGCTGTAGGCACTTATCCCTTTAATGAGGGTAGTGTTGTGCGTCATTTTTCTTATACCAGAGGTGAGTAGTGTAATTTACCAAACTTCCCTAGCACATGCTCGCTTACAGTCATAATAGTTCTCTGATATGCAGCGCAGCTACACATATCCATTTGATGACGATATATTCGTGTTTTATTATATTTTTTGTACCAGTTGTGAACCGTCATAATGGCCCAATTTCTCTGGCAGATACCTGTTTATGAAAGTAGTTTTCGCGTTGGCTGGACGTCACAGCCTGCTGACTGCACAAACTACAGCTGGCTTAAACGACTTCAATGTCAAAATGTGGTACAGAGCGCTATGGATTTTTGTGTATGCTTCTTCCTCAAACAACCACGCCATCCGCAGAGCACGCTTTACAGGCGGACCTAACAGAAACTTGCATCTAAGCCGTCTTACAATATTCATCGTTTGTTGGTTATGAACTTCCCTGGTGATAGCAAGGGCCAATCCAGTCTGATTTGTCCGCCGTGTCATGAAATATTAACAAAAAAAGTCTCCACATTGAACAGTCTCTGAAAGTGGTGATAAGCAGACGCGCTACACTGGTGTTTCGATTTGCACAATACAGAGAGCCCCCTAGCGTGCAGTTTACGAACGCAGATATGTTGGCTCTCCTGCATGAGCTCTTTACCCACGAGCTCTCTCGTTCTCAGACTGATTTTGCCACTCGAAACTGTAAGTTCTGCCACGGTGTGGTTGAGGCTGTTCGTTGGTAAGACATACATTCGCCGTTATTGCGCTCAGGATATTTTAATATCAAGATCTGTTGAAGTTCAATGTCCCAAAACAGCGATGTGATTACCAGGGACACCGTTTCAAAAGCCTCCAAAAAGTTTGACGAGGTTGGATTTTTTAACGTGCACCTAAATTTAATATAACAGCATCAATGATTCTCGCCTTCACCTAAAGTCCAGCCTTTATTCAATTATTTCAAATTTCAGTGCTCCTTGCCAAAGCAAAGGCCACAATGGGCAGTGTAGGTAGCTATCATAAGAAACACAGTGGGTATATAAACCCCATATCCCCTGTTACCATGGAGATATGGGACTTCGTCAAGCTGTATTTACACAGCTTTTTTCCTGTCCCAGCCACTTACTGTACAAATGTACGTGGTAAATAAACTGAACTAAGCTCAAACTCCTATGCTTTACAGACACGATTTCTTGCCGATTCACCAAACACGTCATGTCAACGAGAAAATTTGCGCGCGTCATGAACACCGTTCCGCACGTCATAATTAATCTGTGTTGCACAGCATCGGATCGCATATGACAGTAGCAACAGAACGCATGCTAGCGGTACGCAAAACAAAAGAAGCGCATTAGAAAGCATCGAGGCCAAAATAACATAAAATAATAGGGCACCTTCCAGTAGTGGTGTCAAGCCTGATGGAATTGTAGACCAGGATGGCCAATTTTTCTTCCTGCTTAAGGTTCTCTTTCTTCCTCTTCATTTTTCCCTCTCTCTGTTTTTTAGTTTCTCCGTGTATTTCTTTTTCTTTCCATTTATGTATTTCTCTCTCTCCCTCTCTTTCTGTGGCTTTCTTACTATCTCTTCCATCTATCAGGCTCTTTTGATATTACAGTTTCATTCGGTGTTTTCCTCATCTGTGTTAACTTGATTCTTTTTCTTCACATTTTTTCTCAATCTGTGCCTCATTCACACTTCCTTTCTGTCTCCTTCCTATAATGTACTGTACGAGTTCACGCTATTCTCTGCTAGCATGTCTAGATACGTGGTGGTTCGGACGCTCAAGCTTGGATCGTGAGAACTTGGGTTCGAATCCTGTCACGCATTAAAATTTGTCAGTGAATTTTTTGTATTTACTTTTCTCTCTCTCCCTTGCTCTTTTTCTTTCTGACTCTCTCCCTCCCTCTGTGCTCATAATCTCGCCCATCTGCACCGGAAAAGTCACCACACGTGTTTGGGGAGAAAAGCAAAAAGTGACGAAGATGTCCACAATGAAGGAAATGACAAGGAAACCACGTGTTGGTTAATCATGATGATACTTTTTTGTTAAGCCGCATCACGCAGAGCTTCATCAAGTTCCTTGATAAAAAAGTGAAAACGTCGTTTTTGGGGAGTGATTGGTGTAGGTCTTGATGTAGCTTTATATCCTGCACTAAAGGAGTTTTGACGAACGAGATACCTGAGGCTATTTAGAAAGAATGGTTAACAATTTGGAGTACTTAGTACACTACTACGGGAGAGCATATAGTCTTCCTGTGGGCCTCATACCTGATGAGGTCCTGTGGACAAAAATTACACCATATACAGCTAATTCCTTTGACGGGGTCTGTTTTGAAATAGAGTTTACGACTGTCTGTTTCAAAAAAGGAATAAAAGTTTAGAGTACTGGGTGTGTTAAGAAATGTGGCTAACGATTTAAAGTACTAGGCAATCTACCGTTTAGAAAAAGTTGTTAACGATTTAGAGCACATGGTACTTTACTATGGGAGAGCTTAAAGGTATCCCGTGGGCCACAGCACGTGATTGCCAACTGACAACTGCGTCGTGAGTTTAGAAAAAGTTGTTAACGATTTATAGTACCAGGTACTCTACGATGGGAGAGCATAAAGCCGTCCCGTAAGCCTGAAACCAGCGTCGTATGGTGCTGGGCCGATAGATTGGACGCCATAAATCGGTCACGGCGTCGTGAGTTTAGAAAAAGTTGTTAACGATTTATAGTACCAGGTAACATACTATGGGAGAGCATAAAGCCGTCCCGTAAGCCTGAAACCAGCGTCGTATCGTGCCGGGTAGATAGATTGGATGCCATAAATCGGTCACGGCGCCGTGAGTTTAGAAAAAGTTGTTAACGATTTATAATACCAGGTACTCTACTATGGGAAAGCATAAAGCCGTCCCGTAAGCCTGAAACCAGCGTCGCATTGTGCTGGGTAGATAGATTGGATGCCATAAATTGGTCACGGCGTCGTGAGTTTAGAAAAAGTGTTAACGATTTATAGTACCAGGTACTCTACTATGGGAGAGCATAAAGCCGCCCCGTAAGCCTGAAACCAGCGTCGTATCGTGCTGGGCCGATAGATTGGATGCCATAAATCGGTCACGGCGTCGTGAGTTTTAAAAAAGTTGTTAACGATTTATAGTACCAGGTACTCTGCTATGGGAGAGCATAAAGCCGTCCCGTAAGCCTGAAACCAGCGTCGTATCGTGCTGGGCAGATAGATTGGATGCCGTAAATAATTCGGTGAGCGGCGAAATCACGAGCTTCAGGAGACTGAGTGCCGCGCTGTGCGGCGCAAGTTTCAGCCTGAAGTTTTGAAATATTTCCTGGCCACTTTCACTTACTTACCCATACTGAGCGTCGGCTCTTCTTGTATTTTTAATCATTATGATTTGTGTTAGTTTAAACTGACCATCAGCAATGGTAATCTTGTTTAAGGCGCTGTTCTTATAACTTGATTTTGAGCTTGACCATACGGCAGCAATAGGGACGTCGACAGGCTGGGCCGCTTAAGTGCTGCGCACATAAAACTTGGGATGAAAAAAATTGCAACAGAATATTTGAACCAGTTACAATGCGGGACATATTGTCAGTGAAGCTTTCTGACTAATAGACAAACGCAAATACGGATGACAATTTTTGTGA